ATGTGGATGCTAACTTCATATAGTGGATTTTTGTGTTCTTGTTCAATAATCCTGGCCTCACATGCCTTGATATTCTGTAAGCTGTCTACTTGCTACTTATCTTCGCATCAAGTGAAGATACTGATATTATATACAACCCATGTGGTCGGGTACCCATATTTGTCCATTACTGATCCCTTTTCTATGCCATATTCCATCTGTTATGACTGGAGTGCAGTTCACCTCTGCTGTCCTATCGGTGACTGTCTGGGTATTTGCTGACATCGTATTGTGTTGTTCGTAGTTCGACTGGTTTCAGTAAGACGGGTCGTGGCTTACCACTTTCACAAACAAGGCGATGCTTGCGATGATTGTTAGAATCAGTGCCTTTCTGGTGAATGGTGTGGGTTGGCACGGTGAATATATCTGCCAAAAGCTCAAAATGTCTGATGTACGTACGTCAGAGCTTATGCACCTTTGGCGAGAGATTCATCAACTTCAGGTTCTGCTTATTTTATCCAGGACTCGGACACAGCTATTTGTACAAAACAGTACAGTAGGTATAAGGTAGTCTGTCAACTAGAGTCTTCCTAGCACTATTCCCGTATGCATTTAGTTGCCTGATGTGGGTTGTATCGTGTCATTGTATGCGCAGATACCCAGCATGAACGACAAAACAACCTCAGAACTACAAGCGACCATCGCAGCCACACAGTCTGCGATCGATGGTGTGCTGAGGAAAATGAACGGCGAACTAGTGTTAAAGGAACGCCTCAAGATGAAAGAGAAGGCTCTGATGGCTCTGGCAGTGGTAGGTGATGTGCCACAGATATCTCAGAAACTGCTTTTATATGTATTTATGTATATATGTATTCAAGTATATATGTATATATGAAGGTGATTGTCATTCTACCGCGTGCACGTACAGGCACTAGTATGCTTCGCTATTCACGCTGAGACATCTGGCCACTGTATTGTTTTCCATCGAGTGCTCATAAAAATATGGGACGTCGTTGAAGACTTGCTGGCATTGGTAGACTCGTGTGATTGCTGTGCGTACCCTCTACACCTTTACCAACAAGCGCCTGTCGCCCCAATTCTTGAAGCATGCGATCATTCGTTTCGGGGGGAGTGGTTTGTTCCGCTATACCTTCAATTACTTGTGTCAGTTGTTCGCGTAGTAGGTACATATATTCCTTACCTGAATAGTACGTGCACGCCTCACACAAACCTCGGGGAGTGTGAAGCTAACATCCACTCAACCGTAGTAAAGCACGGTTCCCGTTCATGCAACAGGCTGACGTCTACTACCCTCAGGTGTGTGCATGGCTTACTTTAGAATACGTGTGCTAGCTATATCTACCAAGCGTGCAACTATATTCACACAAGTGCGTACAATGCGTTCTATTTCACCCATCCCACAGGATCTCGCCATGGGGCAAGGCATCCACGTGTCTGATGATGACCTGCCAGTCAGTGATCTGGTAGGTATCTGAAACCAATTGGGCCGATGTGTTGCTTGCCGCTGCTATCTGACTGTGCGTAAATTGCGGGAAAGTACTTTTTGTAGGTATTAACACATCCATACGCTGATTTATATGATTACTTGCTATGTCTCATCGGCAGTGTCCCATGTGCGAAATGGCCACTCATATATTTATATATATATATATATATATATACACACGCACATATATATAGATATATATATATATACATACACACACACACACACACACACACACACACACACAC